AGGAAGAAGCATCTGGTGCTTCTCAACAGCATATGTATTAAAAACAACCAACTAATGATCTAAAATTATTTGATGTAACATAAAAAAAGATCTGGAAAGAAAAAATTATCAAGTATTAAATGAGATTTTATTACCAAAGGCAGAAATGATGTAAAAGGAAGGTGGTAATAAGTAAATGTTTATTCCATTTTACTCTCTATATCTATGCTATCTAATTTGGTAGCTACAATGCTACATGTGACTAAAGTTAAAGATTCAGTTCCTTTAGCTACTACCTATACTTCTAATACTTAAAGGTTCTATGTAGCAAACAGCAACTCTACTGAGCATAGATCTGGAATATTTCTATCACTGAAGAAAGTTCTACTGGACAATGTACACTGTGGATCACTGGAGTTTTTAGGCTACACATATCTTAATTTTATATTCACACACAGAAAACATACCCTAACACCCTAGCCTACAAATAAATGGGGGATGGGGGTATGTAACCATTAAATAAACATTAATTTCAAAACTAAAATAAGGGGAAATAATAGAAAAAGCAACAACAGTATTTTTATCCTTATGTAGTCTATCACAGAAAAATGATTCTTTGATTGGTAGCAATGATTGTGAGCTGTTTTAAGACTGACATGTGTACCTGGGTTTTGTTTTTCAATTCAAAGTAGCCCAGCATTTACCAAAGTGCATTCTTCTCTGTAGAACAGAAAATCTTTGATATGCTTCAGATTTCTTGGTCTAATTTAAGAAATATATATGTATATATATATATATCTGTATACACACATACATGTATTACTTTCCTTCAAGAGATTCACAACACATAGTAACTCTGAAAAGTTTTGCAATGAAGAAATCTTTTGAGTATGAATTGTTCTGCAAGAGATACTATAACTAATTTATACTTTAAAAAAATATTAAATTCATACATTTTCCAAAAACTGAAAAAGAGACTCAATACATTACCCAGTTGAGACAGCAAATTGATAACACTTAAGATCAGTGAAGCACTTATGTTTGGGTCTTCAAGCAGCTCTACAAGGCAACTCAGGCATTTACTTGGTAATATCTGATTTGATGTAAACAGTCGTGTGAGCTTTTGTTCAGAAATTACCTATAAAATGGTAATCAAATAAAAAACTCAGTATTTTCAAAATACCATTGCCATTTTCTTTCACAATTATAAAAAATTCACCCATGCTATCTTTAACCCCTCCCTCACTAGCTAAAGTAATGATTTGGACTTCAGTTTCCTCCAGGAAACTTTCCTTAAGCTATCTATACTACCTAAATTTACAACTACTTTACAGTACATTATGCTTCTGTTTCATGGGTTGACAAACTTTTGACTACCTAGCAATATTTATCGTCCATGCGATACTGAAGATTCCATGCAGTAGACTGAAAATCTGCACCTCACTACCTATATTTATACTTTGTAAATAAAATATAGTTCACTCATTCCACCCACTTTGATAGAAGTAAATGGAAAATGAACCCAAAGGCTAACTATACAACTGCTCCTTTCCAGAGATAAGAGCTGAGCCTCAATATTAAAAGATTATGGAGAAAGTTTTAAAAAAATTAAAGTAGCAAGAGTAGGCATTAAGTTTTTTAATTTTTGTTAATTATATTTTTACTCCTTTCTTATACCTGAGCGACAAAGAGAGAAAATGAGAGTATAAAATTGGGATTAAAAGTCAAAACCAGTTGGCAGAGTATAAATTTTCCACTATATAAATGTATTAAGCATCTTTTTCTATAGACGTAATTAATTTAGAATTAGACTTAAATCTGTCCTAAATAATTCAAAAGATCAGGCACAAGAAGACTTCTTTAGCACCCTTATAATCTTTCTTTTCTGAGACTTATTATCTCACCCATATCACTTTTTCCATCTAGAGCTTTGCTGAAAACTTTCACATTATGTGTTTTTAAAGAGTATGTGCTTTAACGTTACTAAAGTAAAAGCTTTTGTACATAGGGAGGGGAGGGTGCTTGGAATGGATAAAATTATTAAAAACAAACAAGCAGATAGTGGTCTCTTGGAAGGAGGGGAACTACATGGTAGAGGGTAATTATGGGAAGGACACTACTATGTACTAATAATGGCTTATAATAAAAAAAAAAAGCCTGTAAGTTACAATAGCAATAATGATTATTTTAGGGTAGAGAACCTTCTGAATGAACATTTTTCTTTCACCTATTAGTAAATGTACCTTCCAGAAGATTAAGACAGGAGACTAGACCTGAACCACAATAAACAAGTAGCTTGACATGTAATAATTATTCAATATTGTGCAAGGTAAAAATTTACAAATTTGCTCTCTACATTCTCCCTTTACTCATATACAGTGCATGTTTTACTGCAAATTAATTTAACAACTAACACTTACATAGCACTTATTCTGGCCTTGGTATTGATTTAGGTACTATTCTTCATTACCCTATACGGTAGGTGTTATTAGTTTTGTTTTGCAGATGAGTAAGGGGCACAACTGGGATTCACACCCAGCTTTGTTACTGAATCTATGCTTTTAACCACTAGTCACAAGATTAGTGGTGTAAAAAAACCATCAAAAAACAGCCCAGTCAATAAAAAATGCAAACTTCAAGTTTTGCATGAGTCTACAAGGACAAAGTATGGCAGCAGAACTTCAGAAGAATGAATAATCAATCCCCTTTCACATGACACCCATTTCTGCATCCTCACAAGTTGCTCTCACAAGGTCTGCACAAAGACATTCACCATCAAAATACAAGTATTGCTCAACAAAATAGCAAAAATTAAGAACTAAAAACAAGAATTGGTGTGGATTAGTGATGGTAAATTTCATAAGCCATAATTTTTTGGTAAAACACTAATCTTTTGGAAAGTGAATCAGTTTCAATTAAAGCTGAATATGACTTAATGACTCCTCTCCTAGGTATATAAGAGAAATGAATGCATATACACATCAAAAATTATGAAATGTTCATAAATTTGATTAATAACTCCATCCAGAATAGAAATAACCAACTTGTCTATCTATATAAAAATAGAATAATAGACTATATATAAACTGTGGCAAATTGATACGATGGAATTCTATAAAATAGAGAATGAAGTATTGGTACATGTGCAACTAGAATGAATTTCACAGATTATACTGAGTGGAAGCCAGACAAAAAAGTATATGTTAAGTCTCCTTACTCAAACTTTCTGTGAAGGGACAATGAAAAAACCTTCTGGGGCCTGGAAATGTTGTATATCAAGATTCTATACCATGTATACATCTATGTCAAAAAAGCCTTCAAACTCTTTGCTTGAGATTAATGCATTTTATGTGTTGTGCTTATATTCCCAATTACAAAAATAATGTCTTTAGGAGTAGGAACTTCAATCCAGTGTTCTTTGTATCTCAGCATTAATGGTAAAAGTCTTTTCTGAAACCCTTTGAAAGCTTTAGAAATATAGTATTCAAGGGTCAGAGATTTATTCCCAAATTTCTTTGAAGTCTCCTCACAGCAGCACTGAATTTAAAGTCCATAAGAAACTTTTTTCTGTTTCAGATTAGTATTTCTAAAATGGTCTACTCCTAATTCTTAAATAAAGCTGAAGGCCTTGCTTATTTGCAGGGTTCTGGAGTCCCAAATGTTCTATCACACTTAAGCAGCTCAAGGGTTCATTACTATGGCATGTTTGCAGGGTCTTTGTTGGGGCAATGAATGAAAAAAGAAGACAATATTTAGCAAATGGGTACCTAAAGTTTCGAGAAACAGTAATAAACTTAAGAAAACAAGGACACATTTGTTACACTCCATTTCCCCTAAAGGCTGATGCTGCTCTACCGTTCAGTCATCAGAATACTGAATACTGTACAAGTATTCTGCTAATCTTCCGTATATTTGCATTTTATCATACAGTTAATATAACAAATGGAATATATTTTAAAATTCTGTTCAATTTTATGTTAACAAAGGGAAAGGTGCGACAAGGAAAATGACTGAATGTAACTTTTTAAAGTGAGGTTAATGTTATTTTGAATTCCACGAACACATAACAAACGACAGGATATTTAGACTAAAACAGAACAGTCTAGACAAAAACATTAGGAACCAAGAGAAAAAAAGTGTAACTAATTCAGTACTTTAGGATTAAAACTACGTGAGCAATGTATTTTTGGTAAAGAAAAAAAGACTACCAGCAAGGGTGCTGCTGTTAATCCAATGAAAGTTGAACTACCATCTTCCTGTTCAACGCTAGTTCAAATAAAAACAGTAAACAGGTTGAAATTATAAACTACCTAAGTAGGAGCAAAGGTTTTAAGCATGACTCCTCACTACCTCGGTCCTGCAATCACTGTATAATGGAAGGGCTTGGTTTCGAGGGGAAAACAAACAAAAACAAAACAAGAAAGAATCAAAGAGAAAACAAGGCTCCGAGCTTTCTTTACTTATCCAAAACAAAGCCCAACTTTCCCCGCTTCTGTCCCACCCTCCCTTTTGCAGACTCTGGAAACTACCGATTGCTCTCCCTGCAGCCACCGACTAGTCGCCTTCACAAGAAGGGGACAGCTGAGGGGGCGAGGGGCCGTCCTTTCTTTCCCCGGCTGGGGCGCCACTCCTCGGCCACGTCATGAACTGATTGCTGAGGGGAAAGGCCCATTTTGTCCCGAATCCCGAAACCCCTCACCTCCAAGTGCCGCAAAAGCTGAGTGGCGTTCGCCTCTGACTTAACGGCTCTGTACTGACTGATGGTCAAGAGCAAAGATTTCAAGCAGGCAGTGGAGTCCATGGGGACAGGTGCCTACCCCGCCTAGGGACCACCCCCCCAGCCCGCTCCGACCTCCAGCTTTCGCCGCGCTTTTTTTTTGGATTTTTTCAGCCCCGCCCCTTCCACAGCTCCTACAAGTTCCGGTTCCGGCTGCGCTCCGGAAGTTTCTAGACGGCATAGGGGACCGCTCAGGATGACGCGCTGGGTGGGCCAGGGGTCGAGGTTCTCTGTTGGTCCGTGAAGGGAGCTGGGAGCGCCCCTCCTTTCCCCACTATCTGAGAGGCCGCGAGGTTTCAGTTTGAGATCGGTGAAGACGAGAATCTCGCGAGGAACGCGATTGCAGCTTAACTTTTGAAGGGCGGTGGAGGCGCAAAGGGGTCGTCGTTCCTCTGTGGGCTCTCTTTTCGTGACCTCCTTGGCCTTCACGCTGGAGGTCTGGGGTTTTCCTTTGTGCGTCATCCTTTACCAGAGAAATGGGCGCTAACCCCTAGTCTAGACACGGTGAGGACCTCTGGGAGGAGAATCTTCGGGTCCTAGATTTTGCGGCGGCCTGGGTAGGGCCTCTTTGACCTACCCCAGCCCCTTGTGCCCAGGAATGGGTGTTTCTTGACGTAAACCTGTGGTTAATGGGACTCTGCCGCAAGTTAGTCCCGCCCTTTCTGTAGCGGGTCAAACTTACTGGAGAAGGATACCCCAGGGCGACTCCTGGCCAGGTATTACTCTGGAGGGCTTTCTCATTAGTGTCAGCGTTTGTAAGCGAAGGTGTCTGTGTCCAGCATGATTGGTTATTTTATAAATTCAGATGGTACGAAAATGGCACCAGTTGTGTTTCTTGATCAGAGATCATATGCATGTGTATATAATGAAGCGAGTAACTGTGGAGCTTTTTGCTTAATGTATGGTGATGATGAATACAGGTTTAAAAACCAAGTTATAGAAAATTGTAAATAATAGGATGTAAGTCATTTACGTAAGTCATTCAGAAATCATGTTTTGTCAATTCTAGGAACGTTTTTTGCATCGATACTTTTTTAAAGAATGGGTTTATTTTTAAAATTAAAAGCTGAAAATAATTTAGCCAGTTGAAACATGTAAAAATTGGGGGTACCTAATGTATTCGTCTATCGATTGATGCTGTATTAACTATTGGAGATAAAATGAAGTAAGCATTGCAGTTAGGCAAAAAGATTCATTAGTATCCTCGGTAGCAAAGGAACTGTTAATGAGGGAAATATAAACGATAATTTTGGAGCTCACATAAATGAGAGGAACCATCAATGATAGAGAGTGGACCCGGGTTTCTTATAAATCTTGGGACGTTCTTAGTGCTTCAGTCTCATAAAGTAAGATCTAAGAGTAATATCTATCTCATAGCATATTCACTCAGTAAATTGTGAGAAAGTACTTGGCATTGTTGTAGGCACTAGATATTAAATGAAAAATCGTTGGTATAGCACACTGTAGTGGGAAAGCTATAAATTATAAACAAGTAAATAAAATGATATGGAGAAAAAGTTATGCTAAAGTAATGTTAGTGATCAAGAAGGGAAATGAGAACGTCAGGATAGGTCTTCTCATTGAGAGTAATATTTGAAGAAATACTTTCAGGAGTTGAGAAAAATAGTCATCCTCTAAAGGAAAAGGTTTTTAGCGGGAATCGGAAGGACAGAGGCACTGAAAGTGGGAGTATGATAGTATATCAGAAACAGGAATGCAGCCACATGGCTACGAGAGAGAGAGAATATAAAAGAGGCAAAGAAGAGGTGTGGTAGTCCAGGCATATGATTCCAGTGCTCTAGGAAGCTGAGGCAGGAGGATCACAAGTTCAAGCTCAGCCTGGGCGTCTTAATGAGACCCTTTTCAAAATAAAAAGGTCTGGAGAATGTAGCTCGGTATGAAGGCCATGGGCTCAATCCCCAATCCTGCAAAAGAAAAAAAACACTTTTCTAACATAATTGAGCTGTCTCTATTAATTACAGTCATTGATAAGTGAAGTGATAAGTTTGGTAATTAAACTTTTCAGCTATTTTAAATGCAGCATTATCTTTATTTTGAGCACCCAGATCAAAACTGTGAGCTGTAAGTGCCATCTTTCTTTGGAATCTTGCATTTTAATTCAAGCAGTCAGAAATTTTGCATTCCTTCTTTATTTTAATATCAATATCTTTCATAAACATTTTTCACCAAAAATTGATGTATAATATAATGTACCATTTGTAGCTGTCAGAAGCCCTGGCTTCTTTAGTCGGTGATAATGTGTATATCCCAATTTGAGAAACAAAGCCATGCTTACAGTTCCCCTAAAGGGGGAAGAGACATTGAAGAAGAGACCAAGGCCAGATCACTGATGATTTTATTAGTCTTGAGCTTGAGTACAGTGCTTATCTGTTTTTAAACTGGGGCCTGATTGATCTATTGTGACTAGGTTGGTTACTTTGCCAGGAGGATGAGCTGTGATTTTGAGAGGGATAACACTAGAAGTAGAGGGACTAATTTGCTTTAGTCTGTAAAGGGTAACCAGGAGAATTAAGTAGAGTTTGAAAAGGGATGAAAAATTTTGAGAAAATTTATGAGGTCAAATGAGTAGCCCTTGCTGACTGGATGTAAGGAAAAAAGAGGTAAGTGTGAGTCTAGAAGAGATTCTAAGTTTCTAGTTTGTGTAGTTAAGACAAGATACTGAGGTAATTGATTATATTTTAAGTTCATTGTATTTTATGTTCAATGGAATTTTATATGATTTGTCTTACAGTTTTATACCATTAAGTTTGTTCCTAGACATAATACACTTTTTGTTACATTAAGAAGGCTTCCTTTTTTTTCTAATCAGATTTTGTTGTTACTGTTAAAAAAGACTGACTTTTGGTACATCTGTAATGAGAGTTTTGTTTATTCTCTTAGACTTTCTACCTATGTATCGTCTGCAAATAATTATCTCTTTCAATATTTGCTGTCTTCATTGCATTAGTGTAATCTCTAAATATGGAAAATCATACTAATGTCCAACATCTTTAATAAATTAAGGAGAATGGGCTGGTGATTTAGCTCAGTGGTGCTGCCGCCTGCCTCGCAAGCACAAGGCCCTGAGTTTGAACCCTAGTACCAAAAAAAAAAAAGAAAATGAGAATGGCAGTATTTAAAAAAAATTTTATTAGTACCTATTTGCAGTACATGATGATTTCTTTCATTATGGGGAATTAATACACATATATATCTTGATTCTTTTGTATTTTAACACTTAGTATTGGCTTCTGATAAATATTCTTTCTCGTGTTTAGAAGATTCCTCTTCAAACACTGCTAAAAAGTATCATATGTTCACATTTTATTTTCCCCTTTAAAATAATGTAATGGAATATGTTGCATTTTTGTTCTTGGGATGGTAATAATGATAGCTTACACTTAGTGAACATTTGCCATCTGCCAAGCACAGTTCTAAGGTCCCTTTGTCTTCTGTTTAATCTTCATAACAACCTTCTGATATAGACAATATTATGATCACCGTTTTATGTATGGTGAAATGAAAAAGGTGAAATGATTTGCCCAGCATCATACAGGGAGTAGTAATAAGCCTTATATTTGCTAGGCTGCAGGTTCTGATTCACCAATATTTTATTCAAGATTTTATACCTATTTTTAAGAATTTTCATTAATTTCTTTATTCTCATATGAAATGTGAGTTATATATTACTTTTGAAAAATGAATTTTGGGTGTTCATATTTTTAATTATATAAAATAATGAGGACCATATAGGAATTACCTGATGTAGTAGGCTGAATGTAACTAGCCTGTAAAATTAATAGCTTATTCAGTGGTAGATCTTTAGCAAATTTGGGGATTCCTAATATTTTTATAGTTCTGATAATTTTTTCTATCTTTAGTTAATTTTGAAAAATTATTTAACATTCCACCTGTTTCTTTAGATTTAAAATTTTATTGATATAAAGTTGCATTTAGTATTCCCTTAGTTCTCTTACTCTCATATTTTTAAGTTCCTTTTTCACTCTAAAGTTGTTTATCTCTTTTTTTCTTAGTTGGGCTGTCTGGGGACTTAGCTTTTCAGGAACCAATTTGCATTTTGTAAATTTTTGTTTTTCATTGATTTCAGAATCACTAATTTTATTTAAGCCTTTATTAATTCCATACATATATGTACATTTTTCTTCATTGTTTTCCCTCTAGTTTTGTAGAATGTGAAAGCTTATTACATTTTCATGCTATATTTTTGTAAAGAATATATATTTTATGTCAGTAATCTTTAAAAGACATTAACGAAAGTGAGAATATGCATTTTGTGTTTAAAAATATGTATAATCCTTTAACCAGTCAGGTAACTTTAAAATGCTGATATTCTTTCATCAAATATTTACTGAGTGTCAAAGAGGTGAGAGTCTTTTGGGGAACCACAGTAGGTGTTATTGAGAGATATATAAATTGGTGTAGGAACACATCTTTAGGATGAAATATTAAATATTCATTTTCTTCTTTTTTCAAGAATTGGCATAAAATCCCTCTTTGTAAATTTTTATTTTTTATTTTTATTTATATTTTTGAGACAGGGTCTTGCTATGTAGTTCAGGCTGGCCTTGAACTCACTATGTAGCCCAGGCTGGCCTTGAACTCATGGCTCTCCTGCTTCAGCCTCTCAAGTGTGGGGATTACAGGTGTGTACCACCATGTCCGGGTGTAAATTTTTATTATGTCTACATAATGGGTATAGATGTGGGTACTTATAATTTGTAGTTCAGAAAAGAGTCTTGAAATAAACAATATTTGCTTAGGATCTTACAATACAATCTTATGGCTGTCTAGCTATTTTATTTCTTGTGGAGAAAACTGAAAAACATACTGTCTTTTAATACTGAATAGTAAAATGAAAAATTTTAATCTGCTGTGATTGGTGCTTAAATCATGTTAAATGAATCAGGGTGCATGAAGACATTAACTATAATTTTACAGACCTGCAGAATTTATAGAATGCTGCATGTTGTAATATGAGAATTAGTCCAGGATTAGAGGGCTAATTGTTCATTCATTCATCCATTCATTTACCATGTGTTTAATGAATACTTGAGTGCAAGATGTATTTTTAGATCCTGAGGGTATAGCAATAAAGCAAATAGACAGAAATCTCTGCAACTACATTTTTATTGGCATACTGGCAATTAATAAGATATATAAGTAAATATGTAAATGTAGTAATCATTGTTACCAAGGGAGATAAAGGGAAGTGGAAATAGGAAATCCCAATGTATTTAGGTGTTGCAATTTTTGGAGAAGAGTGTTAATTGGCTTTTGTTATAGAACAAGATCACCTCAAAAGTCAGTAGTTGAAACCATGAACATTTATTTCTAGCCCGTGGATGTGCTGGATGACTACAGTTAGTTTTATCTAGGCCTTACTCAACTGGCTGGCTGTGTTCAGCCATTTTATGGGGAGGAGCAGATATCTGTATCTTAGTTTAGATTATTTTGAGATGTCTATTAGATGTGTGGGAAATATTGAATAAACTATTGAATTTAGCATTGATAGATAAAGGAACAGTCCAGGTTGGAGAGAAATTTAAAGTCTGAAGATAAATGATGTAAAGTCAGAATAGATTGAGAATACACATCCAAGGTTTGATAGAGTACTTAGAAGTCAGATAGATGTGCAGAAACCAGCAAAGGAGTTTGAGAAATAGCTGCCAGAGAATAAAAATACTGTCTTGACCTT